CACCACCCATCAAGAGCAATGTCATCTTGCTGCGAGGAGCTGGGTGTCTGTCCCCTGACCCCCACACCATCTGGCCTGGAGAACAGAGGACACTGCCTGCTTGTTCCGTGCCCAGGGTGACATCAGATTTGCCAATCCTGCCCCAACATTCCGTTCACGTGCCCCTGTGGTGCCAAAGTCCCAGGGCCAGTCTGGAATTCAGGACACATCATGCAGGGCGGTGTGTGGATTACTGGACTTGTTTGCTTTTAGTTAAACAAACGGGACTGGCTTTAAAACCTAAGTCCAGACTGATCAATAATCAGAAGTCTCACAATTAGAGAAAAACTTCACGTTCATTTTATTTGAATGCATTCAATGGCATTAATGTGGACCACCCACCCCTTCCTCCAAAAAGAAAATATGCCCCTTCAATCATCAAGGTGAACATGAGACTTCATTCCCTTCTCATCTAAAGCCTGAATTCTAGTTTCAATACACACACACACACACACACACACACAAAAGGATAAAATTGTATTGGTAAAATTGAAAAGCACAGAGGCAGAAAACGGAATTCGAAGCACAACTTCTTTATACACATCAGGAATTCATTCAATAAGTTCATTATTTAGAGCCCCATTTCTTGTTTTTCGCCAATTGGCGGATTTAATGATCGGCCACAAATACACATTATAGCACAAGCCGGTAATATTAAAAGGAGAGGACTTGGATTTAACAATCGCTTTGAGTGTTGACTGTCAACATCAAAGGAGGCTGTGAGCACATACTTTATATTATAGAAAAGAGGCAAACAAATATGTTGGCATCTGAAGTAAGTACATGGACCCACCTGTAATTCTCATTCCAGGGCGCCTGGGTCCCGGGATCGAGTCCTGCATCAGGCTCCCTGCTCAGCGGGGAGTCTGCTTCTCCCTCGGACCCTCCCCCCTCTCATGCTCTATCTCATTCTCTCTCTCAAATAAATAAAATCTTTAAAAAAAATATTCTCCTTCCAGTGTTAGCAGGATACACACCACCTAGTTATTTCTTGACTAACTTGCCCTCCCTCCCTTGCCCTTCTCCTCTACCTAAACCAGGCAGGGACTGGGGTTGACCTCAGGGGTGGCCATTTGCCCCAGGCAGGCTGTCAGACACACCAAAGCACAGACGCTCAATGATTATTTGAAATAAGAATTCTCTTACGTATACCTCCCCCAGTGTGGATAATTGAGAGAGGAGTTCATCCTCTTGGCACTCACACACAGCGGAACGAAGGCCGGGTCCACATGACTGATGAAAGTGTTGAGAGTATCCTGAAGGAGTCTGACGTTCTTTTTCTGGCTGCCACTCATCATACCGTGACCCTTGGCAATACACGAACATAAAACCACTACTTTCTCTATGAAATGGATCTAATATCTACTCCATTTATCTCAGAGGATTGTTCTCAAAAGTTCTTTAAAAAGTATATGTAAATATATATAAATAAAACATAGTATAATTGCTATTGAATTATTTGAAGAAATTAATTTCTTTCACATAATGTAGAGTTGGATACTATCTTTAGGGTCTAAAAAAATAAATTTATTTTTATCTAACAGATGAAAATAATTGAATTACAGAAAAACCTAATTATAATTCTTCAGATTCACTAGGCTCATAATTTACATAGCAATGAGTTTGCTGCTTGGGCACTGATTAAAATCACTGCTGTATAAAATGGTTCATTCAATCATTCTTTGGGGATGCAAACTCAAGTTTAGCAAACAATGACACTTTAAAAAAACGAAACAATGTTGACATTCTAGGAAAGGATTAAGCAAATTAAGAAACCATAACTGAAAAGTCTTTTAATACGATCTTACTGATTTCCTCAAAACTGAATGATTAGAAAATGGAATTTGACTTACAAGTCAATCCTAAGTCTTTGTCCCCAGGATCATAGTACAACCACATAATGATCAATAAAGAGGCACCATGACCAGTAGATAGGAATGTGAGCTTTCCGTTTTGCAGAAACACAAGTTCTAGTTGGTAACCAACTTCTGGCACTCAGCGTTTGGGGATTCCTGCCTTGAATACCAATTAAATGGAAATGACCTTAAGTTAACCCTAATGTAAATCCCTTAACATTCTTAACGAGGAAATACATTCCTCCAACAGACTTGTGGGAGGTTAAAACTGACCGTAGAGAGCACATAACCCAAATCTCATTTTATAGAACTAATGGCTTTGATGCCTGGCAGCATTTTTTATCAGGATGATCAAAGACCTAAATTATTGGTTATTTCTCTGGATAATGATCAATGCCTGTGCACTGAGAGTGTGGCGTATCCCACATACAACAAAAATGTCTGCAACAAGTGAAGGCATTATACTTCCTCTTATGTAACAAACAAGGTAGCAAGAGTTATTTCCATAAATGGTATCGCAGATTTGGGTACTTTTTGGAAATTCTGAACATAGGATTTAATAGTGCTTCATTGGTTCCCGGAGGATAAAAGTGAATGTGTCTAGAAACGTGCAGCACAACAAAGGTTAACCACAGTTGCTTTCCTGCTCTGCATTTATTGGGGCTACAGAGACAAAAACAGCTATTTTCCTCTCAAATAATTCGGAAAAATATAATACAACAGCAATTTCTTAAATACATAACAAAACTTTCTGGATCATGAATCAACATGAGATGTAATAGCCTACAGATATCGATTGGACAGCTTTATAAAATGTCACTCATCTAAGGCATTATGAAATTGTCTTCAGAGCTACACATATATACACGGTTCTATATACATAAAGGCATCCATTCATGAACAATAAGTCAAGCACTGTGTAGAGAAGGGTAAAATAATACATAGTGAGATTCTGAATAATTTTTAAGAGACAATTTGGCGTTCCAAGCAACACTGATTTACATTCAAATAAACATGTAGATTTTCAAATCTAGATAGGTAAAATTTTCGTGATGCAGGCTACAAGAAAATTCACACTGTGAATTATTTGTTTTTCAAAGGCCTCCTTATCGAAATGGAGATTTCAAGTCCAGAGCAAACACCCATTGCAGGAACAAACAGAATGCCTACGACTCTAAAATTTGCTTCCATATGCCTTTCCCCCTCACCGCCCTATCCAATAACAAGAGAAAAATTCCCAGAAGGGGCAGCAACTAGATGTTGTGCCCTTGCATCTGTTAATGTTTCTGGATGGGGGGAGGTTATTACATCCAGATTACAGTCTGGTGAAGGAGTACTGATTTCTATTTCAAATGGCTATACTACTCCAAACACGAAGATTTTTGCCACGACATCCAAACATAATCACATAGACCCGTATTTCTTCCTAGTACAGAAAGAGGATCACTAGGAGAAGATGGGGCTGACAGACAGAGGAAGGAAACAGGTTAAACTCTCTCAGTGGCCAGTTATCCCAGATGAAAACATCAGTCTCTGTTAGCGAAGTTGTCAGCTCTCTCCTTTGCAAACAAAGTTTCTAGCTCGATTTACATCTCGCCCTTTGATGCACCAGAGATATATCTCGGTCTAACCCACCAACCTACTCCTGTTGATTCTGACAATCTTACACAGGCCAATTCATGTGCTATATAAGGAAGAAGTCACGATTTTCCAGGCACTTTTCAACACAGAAAAACTTAAATCCAGTTGTTTAAAATCTGTTTCACAAACAATCCCCCACTCCCTAGCCCCTAGAAAAAAAGTAGCTGATTCTGTTAGTCTCTCTGTGAGAACACAAGTTCCTTCAGTTTTGCCAAGGAAATAACATGGATGCTTTAACTCCAAATTTGGGAGCTCCACCTCTGATAACATAGGATGTTAGGTTACTCGAAATCAGCCCCTGTTTAAAGATTCTTTGTGGAATCGAGCTCAGAGAGTTCACTCGTGCTGGAGGACACTGCCATGACAGACATTCTTGATACAAAAATGCAAATTCAGCTGAGTTCCTGTGATCCCCTGAGCAGTTATAAATGCCCTTTGCTATAATGAGGCAGTGTTAAGACAAAGTAAATTATTCAAATATATGTACACTTGTCTTTAGACTAATATGAAATACATCGATAGAAGAGGGTATTCTTGTTCTGAAGCGTTTACAGAGTTTCAAAGGAAAATAAAGACACTTAATATTGAGAAATTTCCAAAAAATGATTAAAAATGTTTTTGGTTGGTTGCCATTCAAAAGTTTTCCCCGAGTTCTCATCTATGTTCTATACACATGGTAAATAAAAATGTACACGACCAAGAGATGTACTATACATAAATCAGGTATCAGTATGTACGTGTGAACTAAAGTTCCTTAAATACACACATCCCCACTTAGGATACATTCCATTACATCGACAAAGCATCGTTCTCTAATAATAGGTCCAGGATAGCAGCAATTTAATAACCTAGTTACCCAGTTACCTCAGGAAAGTATGAGGGGTTCTGACAGTCCCTGATGCAGGGTCCCTAGTTTCAAGGAGGGCTCTCTACGAGCATTTTACATATTCTCATGAAGCAACAGGCTACCTTGCTAATGGCAATTATGTAATCCTGTCAATGGAGAAGAAGTTATTGTCTTTTCAAAACCCGTTTATTCAAAATCTGACCGATGGATAACGGGAAAAATAAGTCGCAATAAGGCGATACCAACCCAAAGCATTTATGATACTTGAAGCATTTACATTTTGTTTCTTACATTTTTTGTTGTTTTATCAGTGCCTTGTACACACAGAAAGTATTTGGATTGCCCTCCCAGATGCTGAAAGAGCAATACAACACTCTGCTGAGAGCTGTTCTGAGCTGTGTTTGGAAAGATGCAAATAACTCGATTATCAGTGTTTTTACAAACAGAGATGGCATGACATCACACTAGGCATTGTTTTAAAAGAGTTAGGTTTATGAGTCTATACCTTTGGGTAAGTTATGAACTTGCAACCAAAATTTACATATATAATATGCAAAAAGAAAACCCTTTAGGTTGATTTATAATAAACCACATTCGTCCCAGAAGGAAAGAGAGAATGGCTTCGATGAAACATTTATTTTATGTGTACCCTGGATAGACTCACGCATGCCCAATGGATGGAAATTCTAGGTAGGCAGCAACTTACGTGGATTGGTGTACACATGGACTTTGATACTCACTCTTGGTGTGTACTTTTAGGTCCAACTCTAAATGTGTGGGGTGCATGAACACAGAGCTCAGGAAAGATCTCTGTTACCTATGATGAAGGTTAACCTCGGCCACTCGACCAGTATTTCATATAAAACAATCCTGTCAACCACAGCTACTGGCTGTAGGAGAATTTATCACCTTCCCAAAGTTGCATTTGCCAAGGGAGAGCTACTCGATCAGACCACAGTGTTTTACAGGCTGCAACCCCTTCACTTGGAAGGGACAACTCCGTCTGCACAGCAGTTTCTCCTGCTTGAAGCTGAGATCACACACAGAGAAACATATTGTGTTTCTGCCAAGTCACTGTGGGAATGCCTGGAACAGCATGCCCAGGAGCCCGCAGAGGCAGAACCAACATACCCACTCCCCAAGATAAGCAGCCTGCTGCGCAGCGCTTAGGACAATTTCCCCTTCAACAGTGTTATCCTTTCCCTCCTACAGGGGGGTGGGGGAGTGGGTTTCTCCCATGTTTCTCGTGGTGGTCAAATCAACACAGAACAGACTCTAGCTGCTCAGTTACAATGTGTGTTGCCAACCATGATATTGAATGTTCACTCGGGCTCCTCGAATCTGGCTGGAACTTCAACAGTCCAGCGGGATCCTTCCCGAGGATAAAATGACGGTGGGTTCGTTCCTTCTCAGCAACCCCAAAGCTTCCCGACACGCTCCCTAGACACGGCCGAGACTGCAGAACCCGGGTCCTTCTCTTCACACGGGCTCGGCCTTTTCTGATGCCAAAGGCAGGCAGGCAAGTTCAAAGTCTGGACACAGAGGCACTTTCAAAGTTTGGCAAGGAGGAGGCAAGTTCACTAGGTGGGGCTTTATCACTGTGCTTCTCATTGTAACCTCGGACGTCTGTGGCGCGTGGATAGGAGCAGAGGCCTTTAGGTCGTGGATGGGTCGTGCTTTTTCTTCTTGCCCCGACAGGACTTGCAGACACAGCAGATTATACACGGGGAAGCCAGGAGCAGCAAGGGTGAAGTCACCAGGGCAATGATGCCCAATCCCACCAGAATCCCCACCACCTGGAAATTCCAAAGAAAAGCCCACGTCAGCAGTTTGATCTTCCTATATGTATACTAAGCCATCAGCTACAGACTGAATGTTTGTATCCCCCATCCCCCAAAAAATCCCTATGTTGAAACCTCAATGTCCAGTACAATGGTATTTGGAAATGAAGGCCTTTGGGAGGTAATTAGGACTCGAGGGTGGAGCCCTCACGATGGGATTAGTGCCATTATGAAAAGAGACATCGGAGAGCTTGCTTCCTCTCCCCAGCTCGGCACCATGTGAGGACAGAGCAAGAAGAAGGCCACCTGCAGACCAGGAAGAGGGTCCTTGCCAGAACCCAAACCAATCCTGGCACCTTCATCTCGGCCTTCTCGTCTCCAGGACTAGGAGAAATAAGTGTCTCTTTCTCAAGCCACCCAGCTTTATGGCAATTTATTCTAGCAGCCCGAACGAAGACACGACCCCAGGCACATGAAACAGTTACACTTATGGGACCTTTTAGCCAGTGCCCCGTGTGACCTGAACCACGTATAAACCAGGGAGGCAGCAAGGTCGAGATCAGAGGGGAGAGGAAGAAACCGGATGCTCACCTGAGCTCTGGCACCAGCTCCGTGTAACCCCGAATTGTTGCTGTTGGCTCCCTCCCTACCCGAGTCTCCTTGACAGCCTCTTAGGGATGCTAATAATGATTCCTAGGCTATTAACACTGATGCCCTTAAAGGTAACGGAGTCTTTCATAAATATGAGGCAATATTAAAAATAAACCAGGGGGCGCCTGGGCGGCTCAGGCAGTTAAGCGTCTGCCTTTGGCTCAGGTCATGATCCCGGGGTCCTGGGATCGAGCCCCGCATC